TACACAAAGATAAAAATGTTGGATATGAACATAGAAAACAAATATCTTTAGGGGAAAGAAGATATGGAGAAAGAAATTCATATAAAGATAGAGAGGGGAACTTAAGAAAAGTCAAAGAAAGAACATAGAAAACCGGGGATAATGAGAAGAAACATTCATATGAAATCCCCATAGCAAATTTTAGAACAAATGCGGAGTTAGACAGGCACAGCAAGGATAGCAAGAAAATTAATCCTGCAGAGAGTTCAGAGAGACAACATGAACAAACTGCATTTCAATGGAATACTAAACATGATTAGCTTAAATCATCCGACAATCTTAAATTATGCTATAAAATATGGGCAGAGATAGATAAACTGAGTTATATCTATTCTCTTTAATCCTTTAAATATGTATATTAAACTTTAACTGTGCAATAAATATGTAATGTGATGGTCTTAATCATATGATATCAATAACATCATTGGAATTGAATTATGTCAATTCCTGTTAACCTTGTAACCTAAAATATTGAATAAAGGAGTTGATTGAGACTCTGCTTTGATTACTGTTTTGAAGTAGTCTGTGTTCTTGTTGAAACATGACAAGCAGAGATCTTTGCTAGCTGATTTAGCATTGAATCTCACATAAGCTTGAAAATAGAGCTTTTGGTTCTGGTTAAATTATAGAAGTTGAGAAATTGCCAGGTAGCAATTTTATTGGACTGTGTGTCCTTTAGAACTAGGGAGTTAAGCCTGGTTGAGAAATTGCCTGGTAGCAATTTCATCGAACTGTGAGTTCTTTTGAACCAGGGAGTTAGACCTGGTTGATAAATTGCCTGTGTAGCAATTTCATTAGACTGTATGTCCTTTAGAACTAAGGAGTTAATCCTGGTTGAGACTTGGACTGTGTGTCCTTTAGAACCGGAGATATATTGGTTGAGATATTGCCTTGGTAGCATTTATGATTGGAGAGTTTGTCCTGGTTGATCTTGGTAACTATTAGACCTGGATAGATACGCCTCGAGTAGATTGTTATGGAGTAGGTATTTGCTACACATAGTGAATATGACTAAGCCAGGGACTAACAGACACTAAGAAATACATGAAAAGACACCAAAAGAAGAGAAATTTCTTTGCCACTTCGAGCACATGTTCAATTAACGTCGTTCATTTTAAAGCTGTTGGAAGTATATGTTTTAAAACACAAAAAAAGGCCATGAATATAAGAATTTTGTATATCATTGAGCACAGAGCCAACAATTAATAAATGCTGTTGTTTTTACTTCAAATCCCGAAAACAGATCTTTACTTTTGAAAAAAATGTCGACAAGGAGGCCCCTCCTAACTCATTAAAATTTTGCCTCCTAACCCTCAAAAAAGTGCTAGTTGCGCCATTGAACAGAATGGGTTAAAGTAAAAAGATATAGATTAAAAATAATTATTCATTTTTAAATACTATTCCAAATTCCGACTTTTTTAAAAATCTGCCAATTTTTGAGTTTTACTTGAAAAAATGTAATCAACCAATGCGATGCCACCTTTAAATATGAAGAACCCAGTTTTCGGATATTATGAAACAATGCATACTCTATTTGCCCCGTGAAAACATATAAAAAAGTAGTAAAACTATTCTTATGCATGTTTTGCAGAACCAATTTTTTATCTATACAATTGCAATGTTTCAAAGCATTGCCATTGCACTAGCGTGCTAAAAAAAGAAATCTGTTTCTCATATAATGATATTCAAAATACAAACAAAAATTAAATTTATATTAGTTTTAATAAAAATTATGTCATTTTTGATTATTGTATTATAATCTTGACGTATACTTTTTCGATCTATAAGAATTCTAAATAAACATTCAGTGGCGGATATAAGGGGGGTTATTGGGGTTATTTACCCCCCCCTAGAATCCTGGGGGTAAATACCCCCCCCTAGAATCC